GCCTCCACCTCTCAACTTCCTTAAATGCAACGTGGATGCTGCTGTTTTCACGAATGGTGCTGGTTATGGAGCTGTGGTACGAGATCATGAAGGGCGGTTTGTGGCAGCGAAGTGTGGACAGCTCGAGTGCATCCCAAATGCGTTATCGGCAGAGGTCTTGGCAGCCAAAGAAGCGCTAACGTGGCTAAAAGATCTGCGGCAGAATAACATCATTTTCGAGTCTGATTGTTTAGTTTTTTGCAATGCTTTCAATTCATGTTCTTTAGATTTATCTTATGTTGGTATTCTTGTGAAGCAATGTTGGTCGATTTGCCTGTGACATAGGGTCCGTTAAGGTCCAGCATGTCAAGAGATCAGCGAACCGCGTGGCTCATGTCTTAGCTCGGGCGACCGGTTCTTTGTCTGTCTCGGGAGAGTGGGTTGAAACCCCACCTGCTTGTATTTCGAATCTTTTCAGTTATTAATGAAAGTCTTTGGTCTGGTTTTCAAAAAAAAAAAAAAAAAAAGATCTCAATTAGAATTTTTTAATGATGAGTATATTTCTATATATTAATTTTATTTGTCCAAAATGAAGAAGAGAAAAATAAATTTTAATTTTAAAAAATTAAGGAGAAAAATTAGAAATGTGTTGAGTGCATAAATCAACATGCACCCTAGGTCACAATAAATCCAACCTATTTAGTTGACTATTTGGGTTATTGTACTAGTTCATACATTATGGTTATCCTTAGTTTGTAATTGTTCCTATCATTTGGTCAACTAACAAAGACAAATAAAACCCCAATACCGCAGGTACTATGATGTTGCATACTTGCACACCGATCGTTATGCTATGGAACCGTGTCCAGCCTACAATGTGGACACGGTAACGGTGCCGTTAGTGGCACCGTTATCTTTCACTTTTTTAAATAAAAAAAAAAAAATTAAGACCGCTTCGTTATAGGAGCATATATTCATAATTTTATCACTATATGTTTATAATGTCAGAGTTCTGTGTTCATAATTTCATAACTGTACATTTATAATTCATAATTGTACATTCATAATCCCATAACTGTACATTCATAACTCCATAACTGTACATTCATAATTTTCGAAACTCTATGTTCACAATTTTAGAGCTCTATGTTCATAATTTATGACTATATGTTCATAATTGTAAGTTCATAATGTCAGAGCTCTGTCTTCATAATTCCATAATTACATAATTGTACATTCATAATTACATAACTGTACATTCATAACGTCATAACTGTACATTCATAATCCCACAAACGAATAACGCCATTAACGGCAAAACAAAATCAATTTTTTTTTAACTGGAATGACACATTTTCCCTAAAAACGACGTCGTTTTGGACTCGTGTCCACAATGCATTGTGGACACGGGTCCAGGGCATAATTTGCGCTTGCACACCAACAAGAATATTGCATACATAAGACAAAATAATATTATTGCAACCAGGTTAATCTTTTATATTTATTTCTCAGGTATGGGCCCTTGGAGTTTGGGATTCAACCTTTTAGAAAAATATACTCTAACCTATTAATAGTAAGTTAATTCAACATAATACCAACCTGGCCTGATATTGGGAATGCAAACTTAAATTTTTTTTAAATATGAGATAAAAAAAATATTTATAATAAAATATGAAATGATTTGATTAAATTACATATCATCTCTATTAATATGATTGGTGATTTTGTCGGGATCAGTCCACCATGAACTAGGTATAGAAATACAGAACGGGGTAAGAAAATTTGCTTGTGGCGTTAGGCCCAGAAGAGTATGTACGAAGCCAAAGATACCGGCTCAAATAATAAATAAATTATACAAGTTATAGCCCAAATAGTGGACTAGAAATAATTAGGAATGAGTTAGGATCAAAAGCCAATGGACCATGAGGGATGTAGTGGTTCAAGGAATAATGTCTTAAGAGAAATTAAGGGCGCCTTATATAGTGTAGAGAGCCTTTCGAATGGTTGACAAATGTACGACATCAGCTAGTCTTCCTTCTTGGTCACACGTGTCTTCCCACTACTTTACTTCCAATGCACTTCCTTTGCATAACTAGAGCTTCCTACCCTCCAATACACAAGATAAATAGTGGCTTGGTGGGTCAGGACGTTTGTTGCCTTGTAGAGGTTGTAGGTTCTATACCCCTTGACAGTACATCAATTTTGGATGCGTACTTTTCGTAGCGTTCCTTATAGACAACGTCAATGATAATTTTAGCGAGATTAGATCCACCATAAACCGAGTATAAAAATACAAAATGGAGGTAAAAATAATAATAGTACTATATATTGATGCCATTTAATGCCTTGATGGACTCTTCACAGTTGATAATATTGGCCATAGCAGTGGTATTGCTTTCTTGTGGAAAAAAAGTACTGAAGTCAAATGAACACCCCTTACGTGGACTATATAAAACAAATACATTTTTAATATACAAAAAGTATATTATTTATGTACTTAAGGAGTGAATGTACATTATATAAAATAATGTGTTTTCAATACTTGAATAATATACTTTACTTGAATACAATATACATTTTTAATATACTAAAAGTATATTATTTGAGTATATTATTTGTGTACTGAATATATATTATTTGATACTATATAAAAAATATACTTTCGAATAATATTACATATTTTATGTAAAAAATAATATATTTTTTATTCGTGGTCTATACAACTATATGGACCATGATCCAAACACTAATGATTTGTCCCTACATCTTTCTACTAGCTTGGCTTAACACGTAGTAAACTTGACTTGTCATATTTTTTGCCTTTACAAATTTGTCTAGAAAATAAAGATTTTTAATTTCTTTATACAATTAGCTAGCACTATCAAAATCTGTAATTATACTTGATTCCAAACACAAATCAATTTTTGTGACTAAAACCTATATTTCAAATCTCATCACACTGGCCAAAATTCGTGAGACAGACGCATTTTCACATAAGTTTTTATGTTAAAAGTTTAGAACTGGAGAGTAGAAATTAAATAATTAAATTTTTTGTTAATGTCTTTAATCTTTTCCTATTTTGATACATATAAAAAAGACTAACAAAACTAACTATTTTTCTTTGCTAAACCACGAGATGTCCTTATTGGTCCTAATACAATCAGCCAAATCTCAGATTATAATTATACAGATAATATGCAAAATGACAAGCACTGTTTCAAGGGCAGAAAATAAATAATGAATGCAGCATTAAGAAGGCAAACGAAACAGAATGCAAAAGTCTATGAGAACTGCAATATTGACAAAAACCAAGTTGAGATCATAAAGCAAAACCAAAAATGCATTCTGGGCAGCAAAGCTCAAAAATAGTTGGCACGCACTGACCCACACAAAATGAAATAATCTAGTATTTATAATTAAAATCTCCTCAAGTCTGTAGCAATGCCTATTTTGGAATTAACATAATCAATAAATTCTTGCTTTCATGGTTTCCATAATAAGCTTCTGCCTAACTGCAGGCCACCTTTCAGTACTTCAATCCCTAAGTTTCAACAAGACATTCAAAACACACATATCTGTGTTTTAATAACATCCTTACTCAAACCAACTTGGTTGGCATGAGTGGCTGTGCACTCTTGTCCCTTAAGAGCCCCCTCTCGTATGGAAAAATCAATCTGGTCAGCATTTTGCCCCTTAATTGGGTCGGCCTAGTGCGAACGAGGATTAGTCTGAATATGGTACGGGCTTAAAGGTGCTTCCTACAGTTAGAGCCTGCTCAAGACACCTCGTGGTCTAACCCAAAAGAATAACATCCTTACTCATTTCAAACAATCACACTTTCCCTATCTTCTCTTTCCTTATCATAGATTTCTAATGTCAATTATTTTTAGTATCCCTTCTCCTTTGATATGTGGAGCGGGGTGAAAATATCTGACCTTCCTTTTTGCATCACATACCAATGAGAGACGAGACCCATAAATGCAACACAAGTTGGACCCTTGTTGGAACTCAAGAGACAAAAATGGTTTTGGTTGGCCATAGGATCGTAGGCTTATACCAGATGAGTGAACAAGGTTCTGAATATTCAATGATTAGAGAAGATTACACAGCTGCATTTATACACAGAGATATGCCACTAAAGCAGGAAACTAACACAGATAACTCTAACAGAACCTAAAGACTCTAACTGCTCAATAGTTAACCTCTTATTTGCCAGAGTCTCTAAACACAGTCTTATATAGGAGTCATAAGTCTTATATCCCACAAATATGGGGCATCACATCTAGAACAGTAGACACAGATTTAAGGATAGTGGAGGAATGGTACAAATTTTTACTATTTTGCCCATAAAGGATAGATAACTTTGACTTTTTTCTTTTTTTTAAATATTTTGAACTCAGAAAAATAACGTAGGAAAGTAAAGTTGTTTGTAGTATTTATTTTAAGAAAGTGGAGAACATTTTTGAATTTACGAAAAAGGAAATGTTGTCAACCTTTTAGTAAATGGAGGGAGTAAACATTATGCTGGCTTAGGATAGAAATCTAGAACTAATAACATCATAATTTTGCATTCCCCCGTTTGTAATATAGTCTTGATTAGATTAAAACTGTTAACTCTCAAGGTCCCAAAAAGTACAATAGAAATAATAGCATCCATTAAAGCAAAAGTTAAAGAGTTAGCCAGAAATATTTACCTCCAAAAGGGGCACCAAGTCATAGGAGCTTTGGTTGCAGCAATGCTGTTGCATCCCTGGGCTGAAATCTGCAACCAGTGGTTGAGACCTGAAGTATTTTTTTCATAACTTGGTCAATAGTATGTTTCAGTATTCAGTGTTAAATAACACAGTTCCTTCTTCTACATGCACACCCAGGAACTTAGAACAATTATTACATACAGATAGAAAAGAATCCCATGAACCTGAACCAATCTTCACTTGGTTGAAAAGTGCATATCCATCAATGAGGATAGTATTGGGAGTAATGGCGCCTACCATTTTGAGTTAGTTTTCCAAAGCATCACATGATGAAACACGGTTCATGCATAAAAAATTTTTAAATCTGATGAGAGGAACATTTCTGTCTCCACCACTCAGATCTTCAAGCGATAATATGGAAGCTTCAGTTAATCATACTAGAAATGGTCTATAGTCTACAAAGCTCATACTCTATGTGTTCATCATGCAAAAAAGATTGTGTCCCGCCGTAACCCTTGTCTTTCATCAGTGCAGTCAAATCCTTCAAAAGTGAGTGGAGTTCACCAGCACGGGGATGAAATTTATCGCCTGCAACAAATACATTTGTTTGCTGCTCAACTGTGATCCAACTGCACCCAGGGGGTTTCCAGACTCCTTTATCTTTCATCTCTTTTCTCAAGGAGTTAACCCTGTCCCAGTCACCTGATGTAGCATAGATGTTAGAAAGAAGTATGTAAGAAGAAGAATTTTGAGCTTCCAGCTCAATTAATTTTTCAGCCGCACGCTGTCCTCTTATGCCATCTCCATGAATTCTGCAAGCACCAAGATATGTGGCCCATATCATAGCATCAGGTTCAAAGTCTAATCTGTCAATAAACACCTCCGCTTCCTTGAGAAAGCCCCATCGGCCAAGAAGATCTATCATACAGGCACAGTGATCAACTCGTGGTCGAACACCATAATGGCTAGTCATCTGGTCAAATATTTCACGGCCTTCAGCTACCAGTCCAACGTGACTACATGCAGTGAGAAGACCAAGGAAAGTGATTTCATCAGGTTTTACATCTGTCTGTTTCATCTCATTGAAAACCTTTAGTGCATCTTCTGCAAAACCATTTTTAGCAAACCCAACTATCAGTGAATTCCATGAAACAATATCCTTCTTGCTAATCATTTCATTAAATACTTGTGCTGAACTTTGAACATCCCCACATTTAGCATACATGTCCACTAGGGAACTACTTGTGAGCTCATCCCTGTCAAAACCAGTATGAAAAATAAGAGAGTGGATCATCCTACCATCTAGCAAAGAAGCTAAAGTTGAACATGCTTTTAGTACACTAGCAAATGTTGCTTGATCGGGCATGACATTACATTTTCGCATTTCTTGATACCATATCAAGCCCTCCTCAGTGCACTCCACCATAATATTACTAGAAATCATAGCAGTCCAGAGTACTGTGCTCTTTGGATCAGGGAACTCTGAGAAAAGGAGTCTTGCATCTGTCTGCATTAGAGATTTGACATACATGCTTACAAGAGATATTGCCAAGAACTCATCATTGTAGGAAATTCCGAGCTTTAAAATAAAACAATGGATTTGCTGCCCTAGATGTAGGTTATGATGATCACCGCATACATCTAAAACACTTGCAAATGTGACTTCTGATGGTTTTAGTCCTTCAGCCAGCATATGCTTCAGCAGATTAATGGCATGTTCTGTATCTATCTGAGCATAGCCAGCTATCAAAGCATTTATGGAGATTACACTCCTTTCAGGCATACAAGAGAAAACTTCAGTTGCAGCCTCAATGTTACTGCACTTGCAATACATGTCAACAAGTGAGCTTCCAGCAAAACAACCTGTTTCTAGCCCAACTTTAATTAGAAGACAATGTACCTGTTTCCCTTTATTAAGAGCTCTTTTATTGGCACAGGCACTAAGTACACTAGCCAAAGAGACCTCATCAGGAGTGATTCCTTCCAACATCATTTTTTGAAACAAATTGAAACCTGTTTCTTCTTCACCATCCTGTACAAAGCCAACAATAATCGCATTCCAAGATATATGATCTCTACCTTGTATTAGATCAAATTGTTGCATAGCATCACCAAGAGATCCAGATTTGGCATACATATCTACTAAAGCATTTCCCACAAATAGATTAGATGCAAACTTATTCTTGATTATGATAGAATGCAATTGTTGCCCCAAATATAAATCTTCCAAACAAGCACATGCACTCAAAATGCTAGTGTAAGTATATTCATCAGGTTGAAAACCAAAGAACATCATATCCATGAAGAGATTTAGGACTTCACGAGCATTACCATTCTGTGCATACCCAGCAAGCAATGCATTCCATAATACATCGTTCTTTTCAACCAACCCATTAAATACTTCTTTTGCAACTTCCATTTGTGAACATTTTGCATACATGTTAATCAAAGAACTCCCTACATAAACATTTGATGCTAAACCCTGTTTAACCGCCAAAGCATGAACCTGCAATCCATAAGCAAGATTTGCAGCACATGCCATTGCACTCAAAACACTTCCCAAGGTTGATCTTGTGGGCTTAATGCCTGCTCGTACCATATCATGAAAAAAATTTATAGCTACTACTTCTTTTCCAGCCTTGGCATATCCAGAAATCATCACATTCCATGCCACAACATTTGGATCAGGCATCTGGGAAAAGATTCCCTGAGCAAAATCCAGCCTTCCTAGTTTGGTACATGCATTGATAATTGTCACAAAGGCCACCTGATCCATTACACAACCTAGCCTCTGCATCTCCTCAAACAGTTGCATTGCCTCCTCAGGTAATCCAACTTGAACATAACCTGAAATCATCACCGTCCAAGAAACCGTGTCAGGCCTCACCACACCATCAAAAACCCTCCTAGCATCAGCCAAACAACAGCATTTTGCATACATATCAATCAGAGAACCTTCCGTAAATGAATCGAACTCATACCTTCTCTTCAAAACGCTACAATGCACTTGTTTCCCCAGCTCAACATCCATCAGCCTAGCACAAGCTGATAAAACAATGGCATAAGTAAACTGATTCGGCGACGAGCCACTGCTCTGCATACACCGAAATACATCTACAACGTTTTCCAACAGCCCCTGCTTCGAATACATTGATGCCAATGAGTTCCATGCCAAAGTGTCCTTCCTTTCAAGCCGCGAAAAGGCGCTCTCGGCCGAACCCATATCTCCGCATTTTGCATACAAATCCACAATCGCATTCCCCAAAAAACCTTCTGATGCAAACCCATGTTTCAAGCTTTGACCATGGATAATCTTGCACTTCCTCGAAGCAAACTCCACTCTTTGCGGCATTTCGTCGAATATCCGGCGGGACTGAATTTGCTTGCATTGCAGCAGACAGAGTTTTAAAAGATGATTGTAGATGCGATTCTCGGGAGTTGATTGAGGCTCGCGGTCTAGGATTTGAGATGCAGTTACGGCGGCGAAGCTTCGGCGGCGTTGGAAAGGGAGTAAGGATGCGATTCTCGGGAGTATGATTGTAGAGAGCTTAATATGATGAACTCGGTTGCACATTGAGTTGAAGATGACTCGGGCATGACTCGTTCGGCGGCTATTGGCGGGTATTCTACCCTTTTTGTTTTCTAAATACTCCTTTGGAAACAGGAAAATGCAGGGTCGTTTACTTCATTTCTCTGTTTTTTCATTTCCAGTTTTCCATTTTTCCATTTTTCCAATTTTTCTTCTCCATTCCTCCAGTTTTCTATTTCTCCAATTTTCTAATTTTCATTCCCCATTCCTCTAGTTCTTCATTTCTCTAATTTTTTGTTTTTATTAAATGCAATCATCTCATATATCATTTTTACATTTCTACAACAAAATAATAATAATAATAATAATAATAATCTTCTGAAGAAGGGGGAAACCTGAAGCAATAATAATAATAATAATAATAATAATAATAATAATAATAATCTGAAGAAGAGGGGAAAAACTGAAGCATTAATAATATTATTATGAACAGGGAAGAAAGTCAAGAAACTGAAGGTGAAGAGGCGGATAGCTAAAGGAGAAAAATTCGAAACAAAGGGCAAGGCGGGGTTCGAACCAGCAACATATTGGCCAAAGTTACTATTCACCCGTTTTTTTTTTTTTTTCCATTCTTCCATTTGGAGATATCCAAATTTGCTTTCTCCAAAAATGTACATGAAGTGGAAAAATGGAGAAGAGTTAGGCAATTAGAGAATAGATTTTAGTAAACAAGTTTTCCATTTTCCATTTTTCCACTTCTCCAATTTTCTGTTTTTCCAGAAAATTTTCCATTTCTCCAATTTGGTAAACGACCCCGCAAGTTTTGTAAAATTATTTTTTAATTTCCACCGAAGCAAAATTTTTAGTCTCACCTAAGTGTTAACTAGTTAATGAAAAAAGATAGGGAAAATTGCATTTTGCGTGTTAATAAGTTAAAGGATAATTATAAAACTCGTTCCTAACTATTGATCGTGATCACTTTTCACCCTTAAATTGTCATTGACATTATACTTTTTGTTTTTTTATTAACTTTTTGTGCTCACTTTTTGTCCATAAACTATATTAAAGTTACAAATTTCGTCATTAATATTTTGTTAGTAAAGATACGAAAAGTGAGCATAACAAACAATTAGAGGCGAATTTTACAATTATCGTTAATGGGGATATGGGATCTTATGGGGTCCATTTTATTGGGAAAGTATTGGCTAAGTGGGGGTGACGAAGGAAGGAGGTTGGCCCAAGTCTTGTTGGGCTGGGAAGACAAGCATGCATGATGGGTCGGGGTGAAGAGCATAGGCCAGAAGGGGGGCTGGTGAACGGGAGGTGGTCTGGGTGCCGAGCGCCGCCGGCCCGGGCGGTGCGCCCGTGCCCAGCGCGGCTAGCGCGCCTGGTGGCGTGACCAGCGCACCTCCGGTGTGGGCTCGCGCGTGGGGCGCGCCCCTCTTCCCCGCGTCGATGAGGGGGGCCGGCGCTGCTGGAGCATCGGCCATGGCGGGTAGTTGTTGGACGTCAGGTTGCCTAGGCGTGGCCTAGCGTCGGCGAGACCCCCCCTTGCGCCCCTCTCCGGACATTGTGCCGTGAGGGAGGGGGAGAGGTAGGTGCGGCGTGCATGGTGGAGGATGTTGGTCAGCATGCATGTAGTGGAGGTGCGTGAATAATAGACGTGGGACAGGTAGGGCTTGCCAGGGGGCGTCGATCCGATGGCGTACACGTGGATGGTAGAGGATAGGGGGGAGCATGCTATAAATAGGGGGTCTGGATTCCTAACAGGGGGTAACTCAGATACAATAAGCACTACAGTCTAGCGGTCTCTAGTCTATACCCTCAACCTAGCCACCTGGCTTCGATTTCTATCAGTAGCATAGTTGGCTATAGCCCACTTCGTGGGCCCTATTCTCTGTATTTGGGTTGCCCTTCTGGGCCTGTAGCTCGGGCTTCGTACATACTATTTTGGGCTTAACACCCGGGGTAATAAACCTAGTGTTTTCCTACCCCTGTTTTGTACCTTTATACCCGATTTATGGTGGATCCAGTATTTATGGTGGATCCAGTTCGAATAAAACCATCAATCGTATACCTTAAGAACGAAAAGTAAATTTTCCCAAAAAAATATGTTAATTCTAATTTTGAAAGGTGTTTTGGGTGACTATCATAATCTTTATTTTCTTACAAACTACTGTGATTATCCTACTTATTCCTAATAAAAATTAACAGATGTGACATGTAAGATACCACGTTAGATTTTACCCATTTTGACTTAGAAATAACTGGCTATTAAGCTTAGATACATCAAAATGATAAATTGATTTTCTTAATTGAAAATTTTTAAAGTTTCAAGGTGCAACTATTTTTTCGTATAAAGTTTAGAGGTCTATTTGATAATTTTTATTATTATAAGTGTATAAGTAATAAATATTAAATTTTAAAAATTTTATTTAAGGTCTGTTTGGAATCTAGAAAATGTTTTCCAAAAATCATTTTACAAATTTTTAGTGTTTGGATATCCTAAGAATTTTTATTTTTTTTAGTACTATCAATTCTATTACAAGGTAGTATCTGTTCAATATACTTTCTCGATCCTGTGACGTTTCTTAATGAAAACCACAGAGGTGCCAACTAAGCACAAAGTGTTTGGCTGATATCTAAAGAAAATATAGTCAAAAAGGAAATACACGAGTTAGAGAGAAAAAAAAGTTCTATTTGGTGGAGAACGTCTTCTTAGATTTTTTGGGTCTGCTTGAAAACACGAAAAAAATTGTGAAAAATATTTTTATTTTATAGTGTTTGATTGAAAGTCATAAAATAATTACTTTTTATTTGGCTAAAAGTCAAAAAATTGTATTTTTTCTATTTGGTTTCTTTTCAAAAAACTTGAAAATAAATCTATTACAAAATTATATCTTATAAAAATATTAATTATTTTAATGATGATAATAATTATTATATATATTAAATTAAAATAATAAATTAAATTTCATAATAGTTATAAAGATTAATAATAATTATAATAAAAGGATGTAAATAACTAACTTTTAACTTGTAACTTATTACAAGTAAAAAAAAAATACATAAATTTGATAAATATAATAATTCTAAACTACACAAATTGAAGAAAAAATTACCATTTTGGGACGTAGACTGGACTAATATTGTTATTGTTTGACTCAGCTCAACTTGACTCTTATTTAATTAACGTTGATAAATATAATAATTCTAAACTAAAGAAATCGAAGTAAACAACAATTTTTTTTAATAAGTTGTGGGTTGAGCCAAGATTTTTATTGTTTGATCTGGACCATCCCAATCTATAATTTTGTTAGGAATAATGTTGTTTAGATTTTGATGATGTTATTATATGGAATTTAGTGTTCCCAAAATTTATGTTGTTTGTATTCAGTTTGATAGGACACTTGTAATGGCCAAAATAGGACTTAGTTTATTCCTTTTAAGTTTAATCAACAAATCTTTTCTGAAAGATCCTTGATCAAGCAAAGAGTTAAGCAGTTGATCTTCACTTCAGCATAAGTCATTCGATAAGTCATACGTTAAGTGGTTATAGTAGATCCCGATAGATCGTCCAAAAGATCTTTTTAGCGACTTATTCGACAAATCTGCTCCAGATTTGTAGAGTAGCGAACCTAATTAATGGCAGACTTTGTAATTCATGTGTTGAGGTCTTTCAGTAGATGTCTTAATGTCTTATCATCTAAGAGCAATTGAGCTATCTAAGTCAGTTAGGTGTATTCTCTCAAGGCAGCATATCCAAGGTCTATCGATAGAAGTACATCCGACAGATGCCAACGCAAGATATATGGAATGTTCTTTGAGAAAATAGTTGCACACATTTCTCAAGACTCATGACTTCAAGATATGCTTAGAGACAAACGGGTGATTTTGAATTAAAAGGTATTGGTTAATACCCAAAGGTCAATAGCGTATAGCGAAAATAGAGGAGATGGTAGCTTTTTGGACACCTACCATCTCAGAGGGTGCCAATGGATAGATTGAAAGCTCTTTTTTTTTTTTTTTTTTTTTTTTTTCCTCCTAAAGCTTAAAAAAAAGTTAATGAGTTCACAAATTGTTGAGATAGCTAGAAAGAAATACACGAGTACTCAAGCCATCAAAGCAATCTAAGCTTCAAAGAATCATATAGGTTCTGTCTAATTATTTTCTAAGACAAAAACCTTCTTGTTGTTAGTAGTTGGATATTCTTCACACAAGGCGATTTTGTCAATTTTTGTGGATGACCCTTGAAGTTAAAATATTGGATAGTGAACAATGCACAACTTAGTGAAAAAATGCGTTTTAAGGGCTATCAAAAAAGAATATCATGTAACCAGTTAGCTTGGTTAGCAAATAGTGCAAGAGTCTGCATTTCACCTATATTTGTATCAATACTAGTGAAATCATCCTTGCGTTATAGGAGAATAGTAGAATAGAAAATTCCTAAACCACTATAAAAATATTACCTCACTTTTTCTTTATGTTATCTTTTATTTTATCATCGATTGAACCAAAACATAGATGCACATTTACATACATTTAACAAATCAACTCATGAACCTAAAAACAAACTTTGAATGAGAAAGTATCTTGAAAGTCTACAAAATTCAAATTTTTAGATCAAGTTGCAAATAATACTTCTCAAATCTCATACTATTTGAAAGGTATGCCCTTCCACTATTCGATTTTTACAACCGAAAGGTCTTGAAGTCTTCTACTCTTCGACTCTTCAACTCGAACTCTTTTGATCATTCGAATTATTCGAATTGAGAAAACGAATTCCTAAGTCTAATAAATAAAACAAATTGGGAACTTAAAAATTCATAACTTTTAGTATCATCAAAATCTAATTTACACTTGTTCCTAATACCTCCTTCTACATAGAAGGGCCATCAACATTGACAGTGGAGGAATCCGCCTCCTTCGTCAACGTTGATGGAGGAGGGTGCCTCCCTCATCAATGTTGAGGGATAAGGAAGTCGCATCCCCCACCATCTAGATCGACGAAGGAGGGGAGGTTGCCTCCCCCATCAATGTTGACAGAAGAAGAGGCCGCATCCTCCTCTGTCGATATGGAGAGGTTGCTGCCTCTTCTTCCTACATG